ATCTTGTCACTAAAAACTGTCACTTAAACACAAAACTCAACAATCTCTGTAGATTTTACTTATGTTGGACTAATAAATCTGTATTATAACCATTGATTGAAATAATTTTCTTCTGATAGCAATCCAGAGCAAGAAAACAACTTTCATCATTGACATGGCCAGTCCGAGAGATACTTCAGGTGAAGGGATGAGAAACCCTCAGTGGACCCGGTCCATAAGGGACAGTCACTGATCTCCTCTACTGCAACTGTTGATGTTCTCATAAATACACACATATAATCAAACTCTTTGTGCGCGTGTGTGTCTTGTCCAACTCTAGTGGCATTGAGTTTCACACAACACATATAGAATTCATAACTTCTAGAAGTTCATGGAAAAGTTTTCAGTTGTCAAAATCATTTAAGTATAAATAAGTGGCATTGAAATCATAGAACCATTTAGGCTAGAAAATACACTTAAGATCAAGTCCAACCATTAAACTGACATCACCATGTTCACTACTAAATGATGTCCCTACGTTTCAAAGCTACACATTTTCTAATTACTTTCAGGCATGACACTTTCCTGGGAATCATGTTTCTATGCTTAACAACCCCTTCCAGTGAAAAAATTTTCCAAACAAATCCAATCTAAACTTCCCTTGGTGCAACTTGAGGCCATCTTGTCCTGTCACTTGTAACCTGGGAGAAGAGGCCAACTCCTATCCAGCTACACCCTCCTTTCAGGCAGTTGCAGAGTGATGAGGTCTCCCCTGAGCCTCCTTTTCTCCAGGCTGAACCCCCAGCTCCCTCAGCTGCTCCTCACAGGAACTGTGCTCCAGACCCTTCCCCAGCTCCGTTGCCCCTCTCTGGACACGCTCCAGCCCCTCAATGTCTTTCTTGCAGTGAGGGGCCCAGAACTGAACACAGGGTTGGAGGTGTGGCCTCAGCAGTGCTGAGCACAGGGGGACGGTCACTGCCCTGCTCCTGCTGGCCACACCAGAGCTGACCCAGGCCAGGATGCCATCGGCCTTCTTGGCCACCTGGGCACACACTGGATTGCATTCAATCCAGCCAACCACAGCAACAATGAATGCTGCCTGGAATCCAGCTGTAAAAGTATGCCATCAAAATCAATATAGTGAAAGTCCTAACTGAATAAGCCATAACATACAACTGCATTCCAGCGGTCTCAAACTTCTTCCTTCTACCAAAAATTTCTCTTAGAAGTACAAAATGCTATCTGACAAACTTGCAAATCTTGGTATAAAATAAAAAATGTAAATAGTAGCACCTATATTGAGTATATTGTTCATACATCAAGTTGGCATGTACTGCCAGCCACATCTACCAGCAGCACAGAGGGCAAGCTATAAATATGGAATACAAGCTAAGCTTCATCTGAACTTTAATGTGTAAGCAAGCAACCCAGTTAGCCACAAAGAGCCTTCAATCACTAAGATTAAATCACTGAAACAAAGTTAAGAAGAAGTTGAAAACACTTCCAGCTGTGGAGCTGAACATAATTTCAGTGGACACAAAACTCCACTGCAACACAGGGGGCTTTTAAGGCCCTCATGAGGCAAGTATTACCTCAAACTTCTCACACTGGACACCTGAGTAGTCTTTTGAACTCCTGTGAGCTTCAAATTCCAATCCCTTTCCATAAAATGGTTGAGTTCATTGTTAATTGTGATGGAAAAAGAAATAGTTCTCCATGAACAGTGAATTTTCCATTAGCAACAGTTCTTGATACAAGTTCTTAACAGACTCCCCATACTGCTTTTATTGCAGGGTACATCAATTAAATGCAAACTCAAACAATGTGACAGAACTTCAGAAACTCTGTACTTAGTCCTCAAAACCAAAATGAAAACTTCTCAAACACAAGACAATTCATGATTCTGCAGGACCAAAAAAACCAAAAGCCAAACCAAAAAACCCTAGTAAAAATCTGAAAGACATTGTACCAGCTTTGTACTATTCCCCTCTGTACATACTTGAACAAGCTCTATAAAAGACAGAGAAACTTGCTTTCATTTTTTCATTGCCACTTTGACATCCTTGCTGAAGCAAATCCCTATTAGCATGTTATTACAGGATGAGCAACAGGAAAATGCAATAATATATTTGAGGTTGGAGAGGATTAATAACAACAATATAAAGCCAATTTAGTAGATAATAAAATTAATTTATTGCTCTAATTAAGACAGACTTCTATTAAAATAAGTTACTTAGCTTAACCACCAAATAACATGGCTGACGAGTTTGGTTCCTAGAGATGACCTTGCAGCACTAAGCACCAAATACCCCGAACAGCATGGTCCTATCACATGCCATAAGAAGGCTGTACCACCATCATTGCAGCTGGAGGAGGACAATGTGCCACCTACCACCTCCAGTACACAACAGTCTCCCTTCTTCCAAAGCATCATTTGCCTTGATATTTCCTTAAAGTAACTTTATTTGACATGAAGGATAATCGGAAAAAAAAGAACAGCTATTAGACTGGAATGCATAAAAAATGAATCAGAAGTAAAATCAGATGGTAGCCTTGCATCCAAGATATGGTAAGAATTTAAAAATTACTGTTCAAAATTTTAAGCTGCTGTAGCAAGTCAAGGGTTGGAACAGACAACTTTATTAAAGATAACATGCCATGTAAACTCTTACAAGTCTTTGATGCAGTTCATAATTTTATACGTGCAGAACAAATAGAGATCTGATGTCCTCATCCTAAGCAGTGAGGCTTTGCAGCGAACGACTTATTCTTTGTATATGTAAGCCACCAAAAAGTGACAAAGAAAGTTGCAAGCTCTGCGAATCTGGAAAATGTAAAGCAGAAAGGGACAGAAACGGGGCGGGGGGGAAATCCAAGATACGAGTGTTGGGGAAGACGGCAACACCTGAATCCGTGCTGTAACCAAGCGAGGGACCCATAGGGCGAGAGAGGCGCTGCCTTTTTGTTTTGTTCTCGGGCTGCGCGCTCCTGGCGGAGCCGCCGCGCTGCCGCCGGCGCCTCTGGCGGCGCAGCCCGCGCACCGCGCCCGGGCCCGCCGCGGCAGCTCCCGAGCCTCTCCCGAGCGCTCGCACCCTCACTCGCTCCTTCGCCGCGCTACTTGGCCATTTCGGAATCCCCCATGCAGATAAAAATACAGCCCCAATATTAACAAGGGTAGAAGCTAGATTCAAGTTATATCCCAGTCCTACCCACAGGTATTGGCAGGCAACAAGCCTCTCCTTAGCCAACCTAACACCCAACAGAGATCAAAATCTGCTCTCAAAATTCCACATAGACAAAACACCAAAAATGCTCGCTACCTGTGGGTTTCACCAGTGTCCTCCAGCTTCCCGGGGAAGGGACAAAGTGGATGGCTCAGAAGCCCAGCCAAGAAACCCAACAAGACCACCCATACAAATCTGCGGGTGTAGAGAACCAGTCTGTGAACCAGTCACAAAGAGACCATGGAGCGTGCTTCTCCATTACAAACTGCTGGGTGATTTTAAACCTCCCATGCCTCTTCTTAGCTTCGAGATGATACGCGGGACACGTGATTCGAGCAATGGAGGAGGGGAGAAAAATTCAAGATGGCTGAAGGTGTCTTGTCACGGGTGTTCACGCACGCTACACAACTCTAGAGGGCACCCGAAATATGCCCTCCTCCTCCTCCCTCCCGAGCCGGGTAACGTGAGCAGCGGCAGCAGCCCGTCGTCTGCCTGCCGGAGTTGGTATTGCAGGAGCGATGTCTGCAGCAGCAGCAGCGCCCACTCCGAGGAGGAGCCGCCTCACAGCCATTACTGGGGCTTCGCCCCAGGGCAGCGGCTACTGAACGCAGGAATTTCCCCACCCGGCCCTAGAGGGACCTCATTCCACCCCTTGCCCCAGGAGAATACGGGGCGGGGGGAATGGTTCAAGCCCGCTGTTAGGAGGTCTGGCAAAGGCAGAAACAGATACACAAATAGCACTCACAATGGAGCTCCCTCTCCTTGTTGGTCGCTGCCAAGGCTGCACCAAACTGGGCTGGAGCCTAAGGGAAAGACATGGGGTTAACACGGGGCAGCGAGGATCAGGCAGCGCCCCCAAGGAGCGTTTCCATCGCCTGGCCAGGGCAGGTACTGCCTGCATCACTCACCACTTCCCTTTAATCCCAATCTTTCAAATAAATAAACAAACAAACAAATCTACTGCCCTCGCCGGGGGCGGTGGGGTACACCTCACGGCACACCCACGCAGCTTGTCCCCGCTGAAGGAAGGAGGGACAAGGAGCTGTCCCCGGGCGCCGCCACACCGGGGGGCTTCTACCGCGAGTGTGGGGGACAGAGGCAGCGGCGGCACCCACGGCGGGGAGCAGCGAGTGTTACCTGCGAACTTGCCCTGTAAGCCCCGAACCGGCGCCCGGAGCGGCCGCGGGGCCCTCAGCGGCACGGCCCCGGCGCCGGGCGAGCGCCCGCGCCCCCCGCGGCAGTTGCCCCCGGTCTCGGGTTTGCCCCCCTGCAGTCGGCCAGCGGCACTACCGCCTCCTGTCCGCCATTAGAGGGACCCAGCCGAACAATACGGGAGGGGAGCCGCGGAGCGCCGGGCAGGGGAGGGGAGAGGATGGGAGGGAGGTACCCGCGGGGGGGCTGCGAGGGCGGTGGGTGGGGGAGGCACAGGGGCAGAACAACAGCCGAGGGCCCGGCGGGGAAGGGACGGAGAGAGTTAAAATAGGAGGCGCTAGAGCAGACCCGGCCCTTCCCCCAGATACCCCTGCCCCCCCCCTTCGGGGCTGCCCCCGGGCGCCCCCCATTTTTCCCCACCGCCCCCCGCCGCGGCGCGATGGTTATGCGCGGGATTGCCCCCGGTGCCGCCCGCATCCCCGCCGCCAGAGGTGGCGGCGCGGCAGCGACACCGCGGGGTACTTGGCCGGGTAGCTGTGAGGCACGGCGGTTGCCCTCCCATCCCCGCCCTGGGGGCAGCTAAGCGCTGCCAGCCCCCCGCCAGCCCGCCCCGGTGAGGCGCAGCGCCCCGTGTCCGCGCCTTACCCGGCTCCCCACCGCCTGCGGGCACGAACCCCCCCGCGGGGGACGCACGCACTCTGCGCTACTCCTCCGGCGCCTCAACTCTAACTCGGTCCAGTCCCGGGCGAAGCGCAGCCGCTGGCGAAGAGGAGGAGGAACCGGGCCAAGGGAGCTCGGGGAGATCCGCCTCCCTGCCCCGGCATTGGCTTTCCCAGAGGGCGGGCTCTGGCGCTGGGCTAGCCGAGTGGGTGCGCCGCCCATCCATCAGAGCCGCCCGCAGCCGGTTGACCCTATAAACTGCCAATCTTCCTCTTGGCCATGCTTGGGGTTCTTCCCACTTTGATCCATCAGGTTTGAGGAACCCGGATCGCTGCCCACTGACCGGCTTGTTACCCGTGCCCAAGGGTTGCGCTGGCGCTCCCCGCGCCGCTGTTTGACAGCGGCAACTCGCAGAAGTTCTCGGTGCCGCCGAGCCGGCTGCGCGCCGCCGGCCGCGGGCAGGGTGCGCTAGCCGTCCCGGCCGTGCGCTCGCTCCCTGCGGGCGCCACCGCTACGGCCGTGGGGCGCGGGCTCTCCTCTCCCACTCCGGACCCCGCGCTGAGCCATAGGGGCTGGCAGTGCTTTTCCAAAGGGCCCCACTCCGCTCCTTCCTTCCCCTCACCAGGGTTTTGAACCTGGGGTCATTCCCATGGTGGATAGAGCATGGGTAATGGAAGCGTTCCCAGAGGGAAAAGGGAGAGTTCGCGTCTCCTAGGGAGGGCGCCTGACCCGCGTCCCCGCAGCCTGCCCCGCGGAGCAGCGCCTCCTCAGCCGAGGACGCCTTGCTGCCCCCGCCTGCCGCGGGGGAGGGCGCCATATCAGCCGCCGACATGGCTCCTGGAGGAGATGGTGGTGGTGGTGTTGGTGGTGGCAGTGGTGGTGGCGTCCTCCATTTTGTCGGAAGCCGCTGCGGGGAGCTTGGTACCAATTCGAACCAACGTGAGGCGCAGCGGGGCGTCCATTTGAACAGCCTCCTTACGGCTTCCCCGCGGGAAAAGGAGCCGGGTGCCCCCGGCAATGCCGCGGGGTGGGAGCGACTGCTCCGGCCAGGCGCCGGGAGCCAACTCTCCGCCCGCCCTTCGCCAAAATGGAGGATGCGCGCTTCCCTTGCGCGGCTCCTTCCCCGTCGCTGGCCATGGCACCAGCGCCCGCTCCTTCGAGGACCGTCTGGCGCGCTGGTCCCGCTCTGCTCCATCTACCCATCCTCCTCTGCCCAGAAGAGGGAGAGAGAGACAGCGCAATGCCCGCCCTGCCTTCTCTAGCCGGGATCAATCCGTGTCAACTATGCGCAGCAGCGTCCCCCGGGGAGAGAGCGGCTCTTGCGTGCGCAAGGCGCTGGGTTTCAGCGGCTGGCGCCATTTCCAGTCGGGAGCTGGAGCCTCCCGCGGGATCAGCCTGAGGGACAGCCTCCCTCACGAGCGGCGCAGGAGTCGTTGAAGGGATGTCTCCTCTCTCCACCACCTTTGATGTGTTTGGCTAATAATTTTCATGTGTGGGAGAGACGAGAAAATTTTCTATCGTCCATTGTCACAACAATACATCTAATTTCTTCCCAATGATGCCACCCAGAGACACTAGCTCCAATCAACAACTCAAGCCAAAAGCTTCTCCAGCACTGTTACTCTATGTTGTTGAGTGGAATTAATGTGGATTTGGTTTTGCTGGTTTTGGCGCTTTTTTTGCAAGACATACTGCTCATTAGATGAAGCTTGGAAGGGCTATTTGGTGTGGAGGGACAGAGTTCCCTCAGGGCTGGCAGCAGCTTGCCTGCAAAAAATTACGTGAGCTGATGGCAAAGCACTCTAATACAACCATTGCCAACGAGGAAAGTGTCATGTCTGCATGCATCATCACCCATTTTGAAGGTATCAAAGTTGCCCTATAAATTGATAAAACATTTGATCTGCAGTATCACACTACCAGACTAATTATGTAACCAGAAAGCTGTTGAAATTTCAACATTGAATCCCATTCACTCCATCAAGTCAGCTAGTTCCTGACCATCCTCATCATTAGCCTGGAATATCATCTAGGTTGGTAAAATTCAAAGCTGTTTTAAGTTGTCCTCCATATTACAAATTTGCCGACGTTCCTAGTCATACATCTCAGGAAGATGCCTTTTGTTCTACAACAGTGCTTATCCATAAGCATTTATGTTCTCATGGAGTTCAGAAAGAAATTCAAGAGGACTGAAGCACTAGCAATGCATGGTAGAAAACAAGTGTTTTTCTAATTAGGAACACGTTAAGAGAAACCTATTGCTCTTAGTAATCTGGGGTATGAAAAGTAACTGGAGAATATTTTGCATCTTACCGCTGCTATAGCAAGAGACATTACCTAACAGTGTTATCTAGGTCTGTTACGTAGCAATAGAACATTTTCATTAATGTTTTAGGTAACACAGCTCAAACAAAATTGAATGGTTTCACTTGCACTCTTGGAACTATATGAAATGTTTTTATATAATAAAGTTTATAACTCCACAGAACTGTTGTCCCCCTATAGGCATGTAACCTTAGTTTTAAGTTCATATGTTGAAATATAGCCAAAAGTAATTAAATACACCATAATTTTTCCTTTATTTTTTCAACTGACATCAGGAAAAGGGACAAAAAGTTCAGGCAACCATGTAAATTCCTCTTCCTCTGTAGAACCATGTATCATTCAGATTACTTTTAAGAATAATTCATATAGAGTAATTATTTTTATGGTTTGAAAGAGTTAGCATTAGCTCATATGCTAAGCAGTAAAATCTCTTCATGAGCACCAGAGAACTGAAGCATATGTATTTATATGGACACTTCTTTCATGGACAGGCCTGATGTCAGTAACCTTACTAGAAAATGTCAAATGTATTGACTGGGAGTAGATAAATTCAACAAAGCTGAGCCAAGAGTTTCTTTATCACCTTATAACAAGAGTGACATCCTTCTGGCTGTAATGGAGGACTATTTTCTCAAAAAACAGTCAACTGTATTTGAACTGAGAAGGAATAATCGGACATATTTTGGAAAGTTTATGTTTGAGCAGACATCTTAAAAGCACTTACCAAGGCAACCTTCAAGTGATGCGTATTGTATTGTAATAACAGGATGAACATAGTTTAAAGCCACCTCCTGCTGTCAATGTTATTTATCTATGATATAGTGGCATTTGTTCCAGGCTTAGAACAACTTTTCTTTTTTCCCCTACCATTTCTCCCAATATTTCTCTTACTTTTCTGTCCTTAATCTTACTTCTTTATCTACTTATCCTCAGTCCCTCTTGGCCATCACAAAAAAGAAAGATGCGAATAAAGTGTACAGGTTGATGGAACATACGTTCTCATAGTCATGGCATAATGGAATTGTGGTCTACTAGTGTTTGGTCAATACTAAGAAGAGAAACTTCAAGAAATAGTAGTGGATGGAAAAGAAATTAAAAACACAAAATCAAAACAAAAGAAAGCAGAATCTTTAAACATCTATGATCAGTAACAGCTTCATCATTTTGGTTTTACTTCCTCTACCAGTGTTCTGATTTTGAGTTTCATCAGGCATAGCTGCTATTCTTTGTAGACTAAAGCTCTTAATAAAAAGATACTTAGGGAAAAACTCTTCACTATGAGGATTTTGAGGCTCTGGAGCAAGTTGCCCAGAGAGGCTGTGGATGCCCCATCTCCAGCCATGTTCAAGGCCAGGTACAATGGAGCTTTGAGCAACCTGGTCTAGTGGAAGGTGCCCCTGCCCATGCTACAGGGGTTGGAACCAGATGGTCTTCATGTCCCCTCCCAACCCAAATCAATCTATGATTCCATTATACCATATATGTGTGATTTTACGTAACAGAACCCATAGAATTTTTTTAGATTACAAAAAAATGCTTTGTACAGAACATTACCTGTGGTTTTCATTATGGTTGTTGGACTACATATACATTTTGTAATATTTATAAATAAATCACTACCTGTCTATAAGCAGATTGTGTAATTTTCAGTTTAATTAACCAAAAGTGATCTTTCCAATGGTTAAATAAGTAGACAATATATCCTATCCTATAAGATTATTATTAATTGCATAATATAATATGTCTTTAAATTACCTTTATGCTGCATCCCATATTTAAGCTTTGGAACAGTAAATGACAATTTATGATCTGATCTGGGCAATTTCCCCATAGCAGACATTCCCATACTGAAAGAATAAGATTGTAACTGTTCTTCTGTAATAATTTTAAGGGGGTTTACAATAATCAACATAATCTTTACTTGCAAAGTAATTTTTATTAATTTTTAAACATTTGAGGGTTTTAGTTGGATTGATCTCTCGTCTTAATGGAGAAATGGTATTACAAAACAGAAGGCAGGCTCTTAAAACTGAAAGAGACTGCTTAGGTCACTGAGTCCACTATCTTGCTATTAGAGGAAACTGTGTCATATAATCCCTTGCAGAAACTTTTCAAGCCCCATCTTAATAGTAGCCTGATATGTTTACCCCCTACTTCTGTCACAAATCTGTTCCAGAATTTCATTGTTTTGGTGGTTAGAAACTTCCTTTTAATTTTCTGCCTAAATTTATTCAAAAATCCATTCATTTTTGTGCCAATATTCATCCTTTGGCTTAAATAGATCTTCTCCTTCCCTGGTGTTTAGTCCTGATGTATTTATAGACAGACATCATATTCCCTCTCAGTCTTCCTTTTGCTAGACTAAATACAGATTTTTTAGTCTCTTCTTGCTCAACAGATCTTCAGTCCACTCTTCATTCTACTACGCTTTATTACTACCCATCCCAGTCTGAACTCATTTGTCTGAATGTGATTTCAAATTCTCATAATAATCCATTTTAGACTAAATTACTACATTGTACAGTAGATCAATATTTCCATATCTCCATGAAATATTACAGTCTTGGGTGTGTAGTTGCCTTTTTTGCGTAAGTACATTAGGTAACCACCTACTGATACCTATGTTCTTTTCTACCACTCAGTTACTGGGAAAGTTTTCCATTGACAGCAAAATTTTTGCTACCCTCCAAGTGCATGACCTTGCATTTTGTGTTACAGCAGTTTGTTTTATTTCCATTAGTTCAGTCATCAAGGTCATTTATTGTTTTTCCA